GCCCCCGCCTTTTTTTTTATTCCGTGTGCGTTCCTATTGAAAAAATGTTACGGTAATAAAGAAGTACGAATGTCTTTCTTTTTCAAAACCCTCTCTGCAGATGCAGACTCCGTCTGCTCAGATGCGCTTAATTGGAACTCTTATCATCCACCATTATTGCGAAAATAAGTATTCAAACTTTTATGACCACACCATGCCAATGAATCTCAGAGTTCTTGTCACTGATGTGTACCAGTAAGAATGTGATATGAATATTAACGGCCTGTCATTGATATTACTTTATTGTGGAACCAAGTGTGTACCCATTTGAATCAAGATTAACCGCATATCGATGGTGAAAGTGCAGTTGTGCGTATCTAAATTTTTGACAGTTTTGAGTTGGCTGCATAAACGTGTAGTTGAAGATGTCGTCAATCTGCCAGCAAGAGACTAAAATCGAAAAAAATCGGAAAGTCCGCCCCCAGAGAGTTGGGCTCCTTGGATGCCAAAGGGGGTAGCCCCTTGGAGTTGGACTTCTTGGATGCTAGGGGGGCAGCCCCGAGGGTTGGGTTGCTTAGATTGTCGCATAGATGGGTTAGCCCCCGGGAGGTTGGGCTCCTTGGGTGCCAAGGGGAGCAGCCCCGAGGGGGGTACTTAGATGTCAGGTGGGGCAGCCCTCTGGGGGTTGGACTTCTTGGATGCCAAGGGGGTAGTCCCTGGGGGTTGGGCTACTTAGATGCCAGGGGGGCAGCCCCGAGAGTTTGGTTGCTTAGATGTCAGGTGGGGCAGCCCCCGGGAGGTTGGGCTCCTTGGATGCCAAGGGGAGCACCCCGAGGGTTGGGTTGCTTAGATGGCAGGTGGGGCAGCCCTTTGGGGGTTGGACTTCTTATATGCCAGGGGGAGCATCCCCGTAGGTTTTGCTCCCTAAAAATGACTTATCACATGACTGAAACTCGTACCCTGTTGGCTCGGCAAATGATTTTCCTTCAATCAGCCGGCTATGCAAAATGACTGTCGTGACGCACGAATAGTGGTATCAGAATTTTGCATTAAGATTACGGAGAAGGTTGAAGGCGCTCTTTTGTGTTCTGTATGAGTGGCCCTGTGGAGTGATGTTGACCAAAATTGTTCATAATTTTGGAGTCTTTAATGGAGCCTTAATTTTGAGAAATGCACGGAGAATATTATTTTGATTATTAAATAAGAATATTTTTTTTTGTATGTAAGTCTTGTTTAAAAAAAGAGCCCAAACGCTTGGTTCAGATTTTGGTGTTTAGGTCTTCTTGCTTTGGTCATCGTATTTTGTGATCTTACCAAACATAAGAAAATTTACTTCGTATTTTACGACAGGAACTATATCTATCGTATACATATAGGTGGCTGTAGGTTTCTAACAGTGTATATGCCAAGCAGATGGAGAAAAAGTAGAAAAAAAGGTATCACATATATATATTTTTTGAGAGTCTAAGCAGAGACGATATATTCTAGAGACTCAACACTGTCCTCTTACGTACCTATGGTGTAAAAGTTACGGAACGAGGCCAATTCTCTGATGCTTTTATTGGTGACCCAGGGTATTGGTTCAGGTGAAGCTTCTAGACAAGTTTTAAGCATGAATAAACTCTTAGTTTTTAATCTTAATCATCAAGAGCAGGTTCAAAACGCTAATAATTGCAGAAATGCGTATCTCGTGATCAAATATCATTTTCCAATCCTAGAATGCTTGATGCTTGGCCATATGAGATCAAGATAAATTTTATCTGATGAGGAATTGTAAGCGTGAAACTCTATTTTCAGTTTTTGAATGATCCAAATCCGCCAACAACATGTTTAAAACACTAATTGCAAAAATGCGTATCTCGTTATGAAGTGTCAATTCTCAGTGCCAAAAACGCGAATCTCGGCATCTCTGCCGTATTTTCTAACAGTTTGAGAAATTTTCAATATGCTGATGGAGTCCGAAAAAGCATCTTATTCTTGCTATCCTCAAGAATTATTACCCCTCTACTAACAATAAAGAGGAATGTAGACAGTTTTTTATCTCTCCTAGAATATTGTGTTTTCCGAGATACCCACTTCCGTACTTTCACATCGATATAACGCCTTCAATTTCGGAAAATACTTCCGGGCATGATATATTCAATCATTCAATCATTCATTCATTCATTCATTCACTCATTCACAAAGTTTCTGTGCTATTTGGACGACATTTTGAAATAATTAAGGGACTGCTATTTCCGGTCTATCTATAAAAGGACCCATCTGCACAGGGAGTCAAATAAGGAAATCAAAAATACCCATTAATACATAAAATGTGATGAAATAAACATCTAAATTTGCAGTTTTAGTCAAAAGTTTCATTTCCGACCTTTCTGATAGACTCGATCCACTGTGGAAGGGCACATTTCCGGCAAATGCTCGACAAATAAAACGACGTATACTCGACTTGGACTGAAAAACTGAATACTTGTGTGGTCTTTCGTATTTTTTCTCAACTAAATGATCGTGCCCTACACATGATTAAATACAATAGAATATTGGCCAATAATGTGCTTTCTGGTTAAAAGCCTAAAATTATATTTTTTTCCAGTCTTATCTTGGAGGTTCCAATTATTCGACATTGTACTCCAATTTTGTTAACGCTTTACTTAGGATGTTATGCGAGAACTTCAGGCCGGCTTCTTTTAAATACTTCATCATTGAATGATTGGTGGTCCGATTCGATGATCTTGAAGCAATTCGTTACCTAAGCTGTACTTTTTACTATCGGGTATCTTTTTATCTTCGGGTCCTGTTACACCGGGCTCTGAATAATGGACCGCAGGTTGATTTATATTCCTGACTAGACTTTTTCCTCACTAGTCATTGAAAAAAATACAAGTATGTCTAGATGCGCGTTCACATTCTTCTTAAAGTGACCATGGAATGACTTACAAATTAAAAAAATCAAAGCATTTTTCGGGAAATTGACGAAGTTGCGATAAAAATCAATATAATAGTATACCTCATCAGCAATGGACAACGCTGAAATTAAGTTCGCAGTGCAAGAGAAACAAGCGAAAAGCCCTCCTCGTGTCGAATGCGCCGAACATAATCGAAATTTCATTCAACTCCTGGATGCAATTATTCGGGCTCCATGGCTGTCCGTGTTGCATACCCGTGGAAGTTAAGGCGTTTTATCTGTCCAGGCACTCACCCCTTCACCCGCGGTGCCTATTCCGGGCTTTACGCTTTACTGCGAGGATCCAAAATGTCAGAACGCTTGCTGTTCTTCTTTTATACTACAAAAATATCTTCTAAGCACGCGTAATTGCATACAGACATAGGATGTGAGTATCTTTTATACTTAAGTATGTTTTGTAGAAAAACTATTCATGCCTAAGAGATGTCTTTGAAGTGGTGATGAAGAGTTAAAAGCACTAGGTCATTGTAGATCCTCGCAATAAAGCCTACCGCACAATGAAATGAGCTTCTCCTAGAGGATAGACATGAAATTTTCGACGAAAGATGCAAATTTTGATGTTAATTTCTTCAAATTATAAATTGCACTGGTCGTTTCTTTAAGGGAATTTTACGAGAAAATGAATGAAACTATATCTAATATCTCTACATTTCGTATTAACATCGATATGAGCTTTTAACATTTCCACATTTTTTTCCAACTCCTCTAATTGACTCGCTTCACTGAACGCGCTGCTGAGGCGGTTAGTGTCTGAAGTCAAAGCGCCTTCATTTCAGTGCGTATGCAACACGGACATCCAAGGAGCTCGAATAGTTGCATCAATGAGTTCTATGAAGTTCGTCTAGTATCCGTCGCATGCGACGCTAACTGAATTATTACTTGTTTCTTTTACATCGTAACTTAATTACAGCGTTTTCTATTGTGCTGAGGAAGTAAATCATAACTGACTTAATTGCGACACGATCAATTTTCCGAAAAATGCATTCCTTTAATGTATTACAACCTTGCTAGCCCTCTAAATCGAAAAAAAAATTAGGTAGATGAGCATGATATGTAGAGTTTTCTTCACCTACTATAAGAGTCGCCTTTTGTTTGGATTTTCCTCCAGTTTTTTTCTGTGGGAAAGATAATTTTGTCGTTTAGGTGCAAAATTCTCACAGAACAATCCTGATGAATCGCACAGAATGCGGAAAAAAGACGATGATCATTTGTCTTTCAACAAAAATAAATGCGACAGGTCTGTAATCTGTAACATCACAAGCCTAAATACACGTATGTATGATTTCTTGGGCGCAATGGCGAAACTAGCACGATAAGGTCTCGTGAACATACTAGCAGCAATTGCTACTTTACTGTACTAAAGCGATCACAAGTCATGTCAAGGCGTTAAATTTGATTATGTTGGTTTATTCTGGAAGTTTTCTTAGTAAGAACTATGCGTAACACAGGGTCTCATAAACTATGCGTACCACATCAGGGTCTCATACTGTGTATTAAAACTTACCAGTCCTTCGTACTTGACACTTCTTAAGGAACTGTCCTAACATAAATATCACAATTTTTACGAGGCAAGAGCCTGAAACTCTCTCAGCAGTACTCATCGCCCACATGCCTTCATGAATATTCAAGTTTTTTCGGATCAGCATGGTGCAAAAATAAACATATTTTATACTCCTTCATGCTCTGATATTAATAGCTCAATTATCAGTGATTAGACGTAACTTTCAATGGATCCGGTCTTATCTCGATACGTCGTAAAAATTAAACGCACTGCGCCGGCATGCAGCATGTCCTCCGGGTAACCCAAGAGGGCGTGGAACCGCCGCCAGCCATGGAGAGGAGAGAGGGCGGCCGAACAGACATCCTCGTGACGTGGAAATGCTCGAACCGGTGTCCGCTAATGAGAACGAGCCTTCAGCACGGCGCAGATGCTGCTTCAAGCCGTACACGACCCGAATTCGCAACAATCCTCCGGCGAACCTGTGGTGACGTGGAAACGTACATTCGTCATTTCGCCACCTCTCTCCGCGCGATCGCTGGCCGTCCGGCGCGGCGTTTCCCATCGGAGGCGCGACGACGCTCGTCAGTACCGCTCTACTTGTCGCCGCAGTCGTGATCCCGTTCCTCAGTTTCCGTTTCCGGGGCCCACGAAAATCCCCCGCATTTAGAATTTTGACTTTTTAGTTTTTATTTTCGAGTTTTTCATGAGCGGGTTTATGGTGTTTACGCGAGTTCTTCACACGAACCTGCCCTACTACACGGTGCTCCAGATCAACCGGGCTTCGACCGCGGTCTACTCTCCGTGGATGTTCTACTTCTTCTACAACCGGACCCCAGAAAAAGGGTATTGATCCTCGACACTTTCGAAAGCTCGAAAGTCTTCTTGGAATTACGTCTCTTTGCCAGTCTTCCACCCTCCTCAAAATGACGGTAAGCCCTGTCGTGTGGATGTTAATGGCTTTTTTGCATGTGAAATTATATTGAATTTTGTTAATTTCATAAATTTTCTATAAAATTTTTGAAAGAAAGAGATATTATTTTTTTAAAAATTAAAATGGTCAATCAGGTATATTATGGTATTCTTAAGGAGGATTTTTGCACACTAGTTTTCGAATCATTTTGATAAACGCACAACTAAAAATAAAATAAATAAATTATTATAACATAAAAGTAAAAATTTACGTGAAGTTTTAGGTATTGACTAGGCATAGGAGCTGAAATTCACACTCATAAAACTTCCAGAGTCTTTTTAGATGAATGTAGTCCAATCGCGAGTCTGAAAGTTATGCTAAGGACGAAAGAAATTTTGACCCAAAATAGTTAAAATTTAATTTTCCTGCTGTACATTGCAGACGGGATGCATCTTTGGCAACTGCGCTTTTTCATAGTTTTTTTTGATCGATATTACTTGAAATCATGAGGGGAGCAATTCAGGAAGCTGTTTTTAATGTGCTTCTGTTGAATCATGAAAAGTCAAATAAAAATTGTGTAAAGTATTAGGAGCGAAATTAAACGAAGAGAAATGATTAATCAATTTTTGTCCAATTTTGTATGAAATTCCTTCTTCTCTCGTGAAATCAAAATTCCCATCAATGGTTAAAATGGATTTTTCCGCTTTGCTGTTTTGTACAAAGAATGAGAGTGCAACTTTTTGTTTCCAAACAGGAAACCTCATCAGGGTGCCCTCCAGTCATTGAAAAAATTCGGCGATGGGCAAATTTTTGAGTGCAGTTTTTCATACGCGTAATAATTTCTCTACGCGCGAAAATGTATAAAAAAAAAATTTGACGATTTTGATGGGTAAGCGTCATTAATGTTGAAGGGGGATTCTGTTGGGTTCCCCCATCTACTTACGTTAAACAGTCGCTAATTTAAATTGATTGTTTGTTTTCTGATTCCCGTTAAGAAAGAGAAAAAATAAAATATTTCATGATAAGGGCACTGATAAGGTAATAGGTACTGATAATGGTAATGTAATGCAAATTTAAAAATCAATCCAAGAAATCGAAACATTTTTACGCTCAAAATTTACGGCTAAAGGCGTGTTAAGAGGTTGATGTCTTTGTCTTTTAATTTTTATACATCAACTTTTATATTTTATTGATATTCTCCCCGAAGCCACCCGATCAATTTAAAGTGAAATAAGTGAATATAAGACGTAATATTATTCCAATTTTTTATAAGTTTCATGTACTTAAAGTATGAAGAAACGTGTGTTATTTGTATTTTTAAACTAAGTTGTTTTCGACACGTTGTGTGTGGCTCAAGAGTTTAAATGTAGGATTTTTCAGAAACTGCTCTGGATACAGCATTGATCGCATTTACAGTACTTTGTGTATGTGTGACAGAGTGACAGAAATTTATAGACGGCATAGTCGCTGCTAAAAAAATAAGAAAAAAAAGAAAAAAATTGGTTAATTGTGCTGCGGTGTGTCGGTCGCTCAATACGTTCCATGCAACCGTACTTGCTACCCTTGAATATGTATAAACTGGGCAAATGCAACTGAGCTCCTTCTCGAGTTCGGTTCATGTTACAAAATATTTTACAGTTCGGTTCAATGAACCGAGAAGTACGCCTACATGAAATATAGAATGGCTTTGTGGGACAACGCACCAAGGTTAATACGACCGAACTTTCCTCTCTGTGCTACATGAGGATATTTACCTAAATTGACGGTATAGTACATGTTTTACTGCAATAATTCTTCGAAGTCATGATATCTTGGCGTGTACTTTAAAGAAATTGAAGATAGAGGGGGAAAGGAAGAAAAAAAATCATCAAGTATTTCTGAGACATTTTTGCTATCGGCATTTATATTCAAATATGTACATAGTTCCTTTTTGCAAGCGTATGGAGTGACGCAACTTTGTTCATTCACTCAACGTGTGAATTTTGTCATAAAACACTCCGATCGCAGCTATACCCACATAATAAAACTTTCAAACGTAGACGATTCGGTAGATTCAAAAACTTAACAAATCCACTCTACTCGTATGATGAGCCCTGGGCTCCGTAAGAATGATCATATTCTATGACTCATCAGATAATGAACATATTCGGTTTTCACGTGGGCCGATTCAAGTAAGAGCGCACCTGATAAAATTTCGCCACTTAATCGGCAGCCACAATGTAGTGACTTTTCTTTAAGTCGGATGCATGTGCTTGCTTGGAGAGAATAACTCTTTTAAGAAAACCGTATACACTGTTGTATTCACATTGACAGGTCGATGACGTAGGTGTCAGCTCTTATTTTTTACTCTACTAGTGGTCGGTTTAATGTTATCTCATGGCTTCAACATTATTCAGCGGCTTAGCTCGTTGAAGTATTTTCAGGAGGGTTATAAAAGCGTTTGCGCAGAGATGCTGCGCAAATCGAAAGAGACTTGTACGCCAATCCTCTGATGTGACACCCTCCGATTCAACGGTTCAGTTTGTTGACCGATGAACAATTACATAATCCCGTTGTTGAGCTATCTACAGACTACGTTTTATGATAGAAAGATAGTTATTTTCTTTATTTCTTCTTTTAAACTGAAAAAAAATAAATTAAAAAAAAATAATCAATAATAATAATTTTCTGAATAAATTGCATTGATGGAATGATTTTGAAATTAATTTTCAGTGACTCCAAATTAAAATTAACACTATTAAGTTCACTGTGAGGAAATGTTCTTTTATTTAACATAAATTTAACTTTCATCAATGACAAAATTAAATACTTACATTACTTTAAAATTAGGAATAAAAGAAATTTCGTGCTTTTTGCATCAGGAATACCAAAATATCTCAAAAACTACCGGTTTCAAATTTTAATTATTTAAATATCATACACTGAGAGAAAAACTCCGGCCGTGGAAGCCGTACTTACGGGCTATATAGACATACCGCCCGCGTCCCAGGCTCAGGGTCCGAAAGTTCCGGGTGTAGCACTCGGAGCAGTCGAAACTAAGGCTCCAGCACCCGGAACTTTCGGCATTTGAACCCGGAACGAACGGTGTGTGTACAGCCCGCAACTTTTTTTTAGTGTAATAGTATTTTACTTTAAAAATTATTGGTATTTTTCATCTAGGAGCCAAGGTGAACTAACCCATCAGCCAATAAAATTGCGGTTGTTTTCGAATTCAGCCAGTTGCCAATTCAGCCAATTGATTCATGGCACATTTTTTTAAAAAAAATTCGAGATAAAATATTAAGTTTGTTTTTGGGGAGGGGGCATGTCAAAAAACTTCTCACGAATGATTAGGATATCAAGAGACTTGGTCGCCACCTCCGCGAAAAGGTTGGCAGCGAATCAATCGATCAATAAAATTGGAAATTTGTTTACATCGATCCCTGAGGTCTCTATGCGCGGTCATGGCGATTCTCTGCTCATAAAAAACCGGCAGATCAGTGACCGTGGCTTACATATAATGTCTCTGTCGTGGCTGCATCCCATGTGTGGATACGCTCGCGACCGAGAACTCAGAGGTCGCTGAAGGATGACTGTTGCACTGCATGAAGACCTTATTTCTCGGTTACATATCATGCTTCATGGAGAAATCACCAATTACAAATCAATTTAATGATATCCGCGAGTCAATCAAGAAAACATTTCTTCAAACATAAATTAAAAAAATTCTCTCGGCGCGGTTATGACCTCAGGCCCAAGGGGCATAATATTCCGCGTTTCGAGTTCATTGACCGGAGCCACAGCCTCTAACTCCGGATCTATTGGCCTCTGAACCCGGAGCTTCGGCTCCCACATTCGAATTTTACAGCCTCTAAACCCGAAACTATGGCTCCTATGCCCAGACCTCTGAATTTCTGAACTGCAGTCCTTCAATTTAGTCTCTAAACTCGGCTTCAAAATTTGGATCTCACGGTGTCTGAAGCCGGAGCGAAAGCGCCTGAATTCCGATCTTACACTGAAAAAAATCTCGGTGTATTTACTAGGAAAAAGGTAAAATTACCAAGAATTCAGGGTTCTATTTGATCCCAGTCTTTCTTTGGTAAAATTACCATTTATGGAATTGGTAATTTTACCGAGAAATCTCGGTAAAATTATTGAACTTTCTCCGTAATTTTACTGGACCTTGGTAAAAACACCAATATTTTTTATCGACTGTGGTAGAATTACCGAGATAAAATAGCAAAGTTACCGGGAATTGATTACCAATAAAAATGGCATTCTTACCTGAAAAAAACAGTAAAAATACCGGTTTTTAGGTAAGCATATCAGGTTGTCTTGGTAAAATTACCAATCATTGGTAAAAAAAGTGAGTTAGTAAAGGTACCAACGGACCTTGGTAAAAACGCCGAGAATTTTTTTCAGTGTAGGGCCTCTAAACCTGGTGGAGTTATGACCTCAGAATACAAATCCTGCACGGCCTCTGAATTTTGGAGCAGTAGTTTTTGATTCCGGATCTTCTCGCACCAAAATGTTTACTTTTTATAAAGTCAGCATATTTTCGATCCTATATACATGAGCCTCAATCTACTCCATTCAGAAAAATATACGATAAACTTTACTTTCCCCAGGAGAGACATTTTTTGCTTGGACAAAATTACATTGCAGTGATGCTAAGTAAACTCCTGCCTCTTGCCGATTCGAGCACCAACCATTCGCGATCTGATCGCTAATTCTGTACGGATTTTTGCACGCCAAAGTTTAACGACTCCGTTGAAAACAGTTTTCTGGCTGCTACCACGCCGTAAAGGGCCAGACGTTATATCAAACTGCTGATTGGAGATAAAGCACGGACTGGCTCAATACGTGATGTTCCAAATGGATTACATTTTGCAATTGGGAACTAATATTTCTGGCTCGTGTCAGAAAAAATCATATGTGCTACTACTTTCCCGAAAGAGATACGTGCTTTTGAGGGTGAGCCAGAATTAGTGGTTCCTAATGGCAAAATTTAGTTCATATATCCCTTGCCGTTCTGTGCGT